CTGTCATGGTGGAACAGATTATAGCTCGGCTCAGAATCACCTGGACGGAAGGATGATGCCTGAAGCCTTCTCTTGTTTCATAATTGTTGAGCTTACTTCCATTTCGAATGAAAGCGTTTGATGAAGATATTCGAAGGTCGATCCCACGAGAAGACGAGGGCGGATTTCTCTTGGTCAGCTGTCGATTGGCTTTACTGTAACATTCATTCTGATGCTGTTTCGGAGGTAATCTCTTTCGATTCCGGTGAAAACGTGCTAAGATTTCGTTCGTCGTATGAACAAGATTATCAGATCATCATCGACAGCTGGACAGGAGGAATCAGCCGTCGTCTTCTGGTGGAACCGACCTTTGAATCTCTTCACCAAACACTTTCTCTCGAAATGGAAGTATGCTCAACAAATAAGCAATGTAGTCGATTGCTATGGCAAATACAACCACATTTCATCGACAATCCTATCACAGAATGCCTTGCTTGAAATTCACATCTGCTCTATGACCCAAGATCACTCGTGGCATTGTGGCGTAGTGGCAAACACGTCGACATTACACGCTACACAGTCATGGTTCTAGTCCAGCTGGGGGTGTTGATAAGACCTAGGCGAGATCAAAACTGTAGTCTACCTCTGTATGGATGAAAATATCTTTTGTGAAAGCAAGTCTATGCGAAATTGAATGGGAATTTCATGTTTACTCATAGCATTGTGGGAGAATTTAACTTAGACGAAATAGGGCAAATAAACTTCATGTTTGATGTGGGAGACGGCTTATTTTATTGTAACTTTTTGGGCTGACCTTGTTTTCGCAGATAAGTCATGTATTCAGGGCGAGTTCAGAGAACGTACCACTTTCTGCTTTCTCTACCATTGCTGTTAGGTATCCGTTCTGGTTAGAACCATTTATCCGTTCAAGCCATAAGGTTACATTTGAACGAAGAGGATGGCAAAAGACAAATTCTGATGTACCCAAGGTTTGTGTTGATACATATTTTGATATTGATTGTTTGAATACCGCCACCAACATGTGGGAGATTTGTGTATTACCCACATGAAGAGGACACATTCTGTAGGGCAGCAATGATTACTTGATTTAGGTGCAGACTGTTGATTGCATACTACCCTGATCACATATAAGTGGTGCCATTCGAAGGGTACAGAAAAAGATGACTTATTCTCCTCTTTAGTCAATTGCAAGTGACGAGTAGACATTAGATCCTGATACATTTGATCCTGCATGCTGCAATAAAGACACGATAACTTTAGTCGCCAAGGCCAGATTGTCTCCTGTCTCAAAAGCGGTCTCTCCGATCGGCCAATGCAGCACAAACGTTTCTCTGCCATTGCATACATGCCCTATCAAGTTGAATTGTTATCTCGAAAGTTGCAGCCATGGTCTGCTTCGCAGTGTGTCTACACCATGGCCAGACGGATCCCTGCAGCTTTGGCAAGGTGAGCCAGAAATGGCAGTACACTCAATTCCCAATGGGAGAGCTGGCGGCAGCATGTTTATCGACATGTAGGTCTGACGCAAAGTTCATGTGCACGGGCAGTCTTGCAGAGGTGCTGATGGGCGCTCTTAAATCAACCAGTTCCACCATCCTCGCACAGGGGCCGGGTTCGCAGCCGAAATGCACCAGACGCATCTTCGCCTCTGCTTGACAGCGGCCTCACGTTTGGTCTCTGGGGGGGGATTGTGCCCGCCAGTGAACAAGCAAGTTATGCTACCGTTTGCGATACAGGCGGCAGCGCATAATAAACTATTGCGCCGAGCAAATCAAATTGAGTATTCTTAATAAAGTGTTTACTTTAACCGAAATCTGGGTTCATAGAACCCGGATTTATAGGAATTCTATAGGCTGTATTAATTTACAGCTTTTATTATCATATCCTCCAGCTCCATTCTGTACTATTCTGGCATATATTAAGTCCTTTTATCTTCCCTCCGTCTGGCATTGGCATGCATTTTAACGGGAAAGGAAGTGCTTCAGGTGGGCTTGGAGGTATAAAAAGTGTGAATATTATTCATAATGGGCACTTTCGCTAGCTTTTGTAAGAAAATAATTCATGACCTGATGGATTCCCAGCAGGGTGCCAATTACTTCGAAATATGCGAAGCAGAGTCCGCCAATAAGGACTTTTGCTAATAAGCAATACGCATCGAAATGACCTTTTCCTTGGAAGTCACGGTAGATTATCCTTCATGTATCCTTCCCTCGGCATTCATACTGGTAGCCTTTCGAATAAATTGTTGCATTTTTCCAGTCAAAGGCTCATTATTTAGTGCATATTGAAATATCTTTTCGATTTGTAGAGTCCAGCTTGAGCGCAAACGAATGTGCCAAGGGAGCGATGAGGAATGACTAATTCCGTCCATGGAAATTGGGCTGAATGACGAGAAGTTGATGACACCTCAAAAATTTCATGAAGGATATTCTACCTACTAGGCC